GTTGTTTTCAATTTTAACACTCCGCCAAACCATTCAACCGGACGAAGAGCGAGTCGTTTATATCAACAGAATGGTCCCGATCGGGTGCTCAATCGCCAAATTGTGCACATGGTGGCGACACCAAACGACGTCATAATGATGGTTGCTAGGTAGAAGTATCAAAATTCTAAATTTGTTTGTCGTTCATGCTTAACATGTAAAGCGACAATGAAGTAGACATTTTTCGCCTTAATAATATAAATAAGATGAAACAGAATTAAAATTTACACTGAACAAATAAAGAAGTTGGATTATACATTGTCTTAATTTAGAAATTACATGAATGGAAGTTAGAAATTACATGAGTAGAAGTAAGAAATTAGACGATAGCATGTTAGAATTTTGAATCTAATATACCGCCATAACGACCCAGTTATTAATCTGTGTGAGCTGCCGCAGATTTTGCAAAGTTTTGCATAGTGCTGGACTGGTCCAGTATTGTTTAGTTCTGCAATTTTACCTATATTTCAACGACTTTTAACTTTCGGCTGGTCTGCCTCATACTAATTAATGCGCGGAAAATGTCCTAGTGTTTGACATCGAATTTGGAAAAAAAAGGCTGTTAAAAAGTGTAGCCTTTATCGCGTTCACAAGGTTTTCGAAAATGGGGTTAAATTCGGAACGGAAGGCCACTGAACGCTCATTATCGATACATCCCATGACCGCAATGCTTCACATCAAACTTTTCGGCAAAGGGGGCGGGAGTAACTCACGAACGGAAGTTCACGGAATGCTGATTATTGATTAACAAAACGACGACAATCGATGGGTTTCATGCTTTTGTGTTCCGAGCCCACAAACTTCAGTCAAATTCCTTCTCTCTGAGCCAAGCCATCGGTGATACAATTTTTGTCTAGCCTCGATTGTCATTACTACGGTTGTTACGATAATAAACAAAGTTTCAATTATCCATTTTTACGGTGGTTATTTCCTCAACCACAAAATTTATTCAAATCTACTAAATATCGGATTATGGTCCTGGTAAGTTAATTAATGTGTAATTAATAATTTATATAGCATTTCAAGCCTAAAGAAAGACCGGCAATGGGCAGATTTGGCATTTTCATAACGCATGTTTAATATACCTTTTAAGATTCGTGTACAGTATCCACAACCTTGGTATACGTATGCTTTGTCATTATTTGCCTGGGGGTGGGGGGAACAGTCTCCACCAAATATATGGGCCTGGCAATAATAATTATACTGTATATAAATATATCTAAGGCTATTATTAACCAAAAGATTATACAGGTCACAATTCTATGGAATACAATCACTGCTTTTTACTGAGCGACGTTTCGACTAGGCTTCTCTAGTCATTATCAAACACTATGACTCAGAGAAGCCTAATCGAAACGTCGCTCAGTAAAAAGCAGTAATTGTATTCCATAGAATTGTGACCTGTATACTCTAGTTCAATTACTAAATGCAATTGAAACAGTTTAACCAAATGATGTTTAAACTTCACAATGACTAAGCACATTGAAAATGTCAATAGAGTACCGAGTTCATATATACGATCAAATTAATGTTATGTGGGTTTCATCCTTCTGGGGGTGTCACTATTTCTCAATAAAGAAAACACAATTCAAAGATCCACATGTTTAATTCTCTCCAATGGCAGATCACCCATACCTAGTAAAAGTATCAATAAGTATCTTTATAAATCAAAGGCAAAGACAGTTAAAGATACATTATGGGAGATTTTAATAGAGAGTTGGCCATTCTTGCTATAACAGTTCAAAAATAGATCATGAAAGAAGAATATATTGAAAATTTCCGTCAAATTACTTTATTCTGAACAAAGTTATCACCATTGTAATTTTTGATTATAAATAGGGGTCAACTCTCTCTTCACCGTCTCCGAGAATGACCGATCGTTTGATTGACAGGCGTTAACTCCACTACATAATCTCGATTATCAAAGAACGTTTTCAATGCTGTGGTACCGTTAGCCTACATAAACTAACTGGCCCAATCCGTAAATAGGATTCTTACATAGGGTGTGTGCAATACTGATATTCTGAAATTCCTGTTGACATTTTTGTAATTCAAGCATAGTCTTAGATATATGATCAAACTTGTCTTTTAAACGGGAAACAAACTCAATAAATGAACGACAAACTCCATAAAATTGCCAACGAAGATGAGTAATGGTTTTGGGCTTCTTATTTACCAAATACCAACTCGTAAGGGCAAAAATCACTTAACTGTGGTGAAACAAAGGATTTGTAAGCATAGCAACAGTGAGAGACATATTTGACCCAATCAGTTCCATACTGATTTAAGTTAATCTTGAGCAAATCAGAGATTGATCTAATGTGGCGTTCTGCCAGAAGACTACCATGATTGGCAACACTGGTTACTTTTTGACTAATACCAAGTGCATCTATTACTATGACAGATGGGGGACCAAAGAGACAGACTACTTTCTGGATTAAAGCTTCACACACTGTTTCGGCGTTATCTGACTTAGTTGGGACGCAAATGATGAAGCTCGTAATTTCATCACAGATAACTAGAAGATGCTTAAAACTAGAGATGGATGCAGGCTAGTTCAGCTCTGAACGTAGGTCTCATTGCACTCGCAATGTACGTTCAGGAACCGTCCTATTGAATCCTTGTCGAAAAAGTTTTGATTCCCAGTCAATTTTACTGGGCTACTTTTTATTGCTAAACGGTGGGGTGTCAATTCGCGTAAACCCGTGCACAATGTAAAGGAACATCTTAAGTGAGAAAATAAGACCTTGCTTACCGCGCAAGCGTATGAGCGACACAACACGCTATTAGAATTACGTCCCCTCCTATCAAGTTACGAGCAGAAATCTTCAGTCCATTATCAATAAGTGATGGGGATCACGTGGCTAAGTGGGTAAGACGCCGGCTCGCTAGCCTGGAGGTCGGATGTTCGATCCCTGCATTGGCCGAGAAAGTTCATCCAGATTTTCCGGCGTGGTTTCCCCTTGTCAGTGATGCAAGACGGAGGGCCTGACAAGGAAAGCTGTCTAGTCGTTCGGATGGGACGAAAAACCGAGGTCCCGTGTACATATTGGCGTGCACGTAAAAGATCCCTTGGCAGTTGGAATTCGATATAAGAGTAGGCCGTAGCGCCGCTGCCCGGGCAAAATTTCCCTCATAGCACACTGTATGGCGTATACCCGTCTTCATTAGCCCAGTTTAGGAGCAGGACAGTAGGACGTTAAACCCCATTTCATTTCATTTCACTGATTACTATGTGACTAAATACAATGATATCGTCGTGATGAGCAATACAGTAAAGACGGCTGTCGGGTACTTGAGAGAGAATCCTATCAATTTCGGCTTGAAAAATAGCAGGGGACACAATAAATCCTTGTGTCAAGCGCTTGAATTAAAGTGGCGACCTCCGCGATAGGCAGATATACTCGTGTATTGTTGAGTATTGTTGGGCATAGAAAAGAAAAACTTAAGGTCAAGGCAGCTGATAACTGTTGGTGAAGCATGACCAATTCTTTGCAAGGTAGATGATAATAAAGGGAATGGATGATTATACCTTTTAATGCGCTTATTTATGTGACGAAAGTCAACTACAACACGTTTATCTGCAGTTCCCGTTTTAGGGAGAATTAAAGTTCGGCATCGATGACCTCTTTATCAGATTCAGTGGTATGTCAACTTCAATGTTAGAACAAGAGTCAATCTCACCATAAAGACTGAAAGCTTCTCTTCTTTGTGATAGTTGACTATGAAAATCTTTCTTCTCATTAGGTGACAAAATACAATTCTGCTGTAGAATCTCATCTTATTACTGTAATACTGCAATAAAGGATTTATCCTTCTTAAAGGACAATATTGGTGTCAGTCATTATCAAATATGTGATAGAACTGATTAAACACGTTCCAAACACATAGGTCATTGCTACGATAGATGCGTAATAAAGGTTTCAACAATCAGAAGTAACGATCGCAAAAGGAAAACCCGAGTTATCCCTCTGTATAACTGACTGAAGTGGCGAGTGATAACAGATAAATTAGCTTTAACGTTGATAAAAGTCATGACAGGCTAAATTATGTCTTAAGTGATTCTTGACAGTGTTCTTGTCTACATCTCCTAGGATACACCACGAAAATTTCACAATGAAACTGATAAAACTGTTCTGGAACAAAGTCAAACTGCAACAACAAATTGGCACAATAATTGTCTTTTCACACAATGACAATGCGACTGTTCACAGTGATAAGCAGCCCAAAGGGTTAAAGCTGTTCTTGACTGGCTCAAATCAGGCGAGTGTGGCTGGCTCAAAACGAAAATCAAATCTAATTCAATCTAAGAAAATTCATGACATCCACTCAAAATCACTGGCTATAATGTTAATGCAGGGAAAGATCTGACATCTCCACCATGTTATGTTGGTTTAATCCCACTGGAGGGGGGGGGGTGTCACTATTTTTCAATCTTCTTTAACGCTCAATAAAGAAAACATCATTCAAAGATCCCGTGTTTATTTCTCTCCAAGGGCATATCATTCATACCTAGTCTCTTTGTAAATAGGCAAAGACAGTTAAAGGGAAGTAACTCTTCCAAGCTTAACTAAGGTTCAGGCCACATTTAACTACTTATGTTTGACTTATCACTATATAACATTAAAAGCACATGGAAGTTAAAGGAAAGGGGGACGACTGAATTATGTTCATCGCTGCTCGGCGCATGCGCGTGCTTTGTAAACTTGTTATTTCCTTCTAGAACTTGTAACCTGTACAAAAGCTTTAGAACTTGAAATTTCTGTCAAGTTTTAACATAAGTAGCTTCATAGTCAGATATTATTTTACCAATAATATATGTTCTCTATATAACAGGTTAAAATTAAATTTATCGAATGAAGTGTCTGTAACCGCCACTGGCAAGTGTGACGTGATCGTTTCCAAATATCAAGTACGAAATAAATATATAATATGAAACTAAATAATAGTATTTTTTTCAGAACCAGAAGACATGTCGGTTGTGAAAGTTCCAGATGCTTCTGGTAAAACTATAACTTTACTAGAATGGAACGGAAGATTCTATCCCCAATTTCCCCCAGAAGTTGTCATGAACGTTCCATCGGTCAAATTCAGGGATGATGATGTTCTTCTTTGTTCGTATGCAAAGTCAGGTATGTTCACAATCTTAAATTCAACAAACATTGATGTTACTCAATTTCAAATTAATTTATATTTGATAATTCAATACCCCATGCCCCATGACTAAGGATGAACAAACCAACAGCCAGACTCATGGTCCCCTCATAAAGTCAAAAATAGATGGCGAATGACACCTGCTGTGCAGAATATCTTACTTGCCAAGCATCGACATATCTTAGCCCTGCACCACTGACAAGGGAAAATCACATAAATTAGAAGCTGTGTTCAAAAACGTGTAACGGGCAATCATACAGATGGACAAAGGCACATCCTAATGTTTCTCCAAAATAATGTAGCATTAGCAACTGACTGTAACATTAGCAAATGACTGTAACGTCTGTCATCGTGGCAAATTGAGTATGAAACAGCTTTATTTCACGTTCGATTCCACGGACATGGTACAAGCAAAAACAACATAATTACATGTATGTAAATAGACTGTCTGCTTTTGTTAAATGTACGTTCAAGCAGCTTTTCGTATCTCTTATTTAAGGTACACATTGGATGTCTGAAATATGTAGGATGCTAATTCATGGGCGAACAGACATAGAAGTTAAACCAAAAGGACATTTTATGTTAGAAATAATGCCGCAAGAGACTTTGGATAAAGAACCTTCACCAAGATTACTAAATACCCATTATAGGTTCGATCGTTTACCTACTGATTTGAAAACCAAGAAAACAAAAATAATTTACATAAGAAGAAACCCAAAAGATGTTGTCGTTTCCTTTTACAACCATACTCTTAAATTGAAAAGATGGTATGAATATGAAGGAGAATTTAAGGACTATTTTGAGTTATTTCTTGATGGTAAACGTAAGTGCGACATTTTGAAGTATCCTATTCAATACATGATAGTTTATTATTTTTAAATACTCTACCAGACAGTGATGTTTGTGGGAAAGCAAGTCCAAACAATCTCCTAGATTATCTATAGTTATCTATTATCTATATAGTTAAAGAACCCTTGACAGAATACAAAGACAAATTGACGGAAACGTCATTATTCTGATAATATTGTTACAAGTTACTATATAAATGCAAATTAACCATATACTATATATCTCCAGATAATAAAGTCCACGAGGCGTTAAACGAGAGAGAGAGGAGGGGAGAGAGAGATGGGATTTAACGTCCACTCGATCAATTTTATTTCATTCAATGATTCGCTTGCGCGTAGGAGTCTTTAGCAGTGGGAAAAAACTGGGGGATCCGGCGAAAACCCACGAGGTTTGGACAGGCAACCATATTCCTTATACCGTACAACAGGGGAATCGAAACCACGCCAGTTGACTCAATGATAGACCTTACGATACAACGCGTACGCGCAAACCATTCGGCCCTCGAACCCCGCTGAGACGTTTTGGTCTGTTATCTGCTGTTATTTTCAGTTGACTATGGCTCGTGGTTTGACTATGTTAAAGATTGGGAGAAAATTATAGCTGAAAATTCAGATTTACCTATACTGGACTGTACATATGAAGATCTTAAAGAGGTATTTATTTAATGCAATATACAACAATGTTAAACCTTTATAACATTTACTAGATTATGTTTGGTACAAACACAGCAATTACTCTTTATTTTCAATTCAAAAGAATTATGGGTGGGTTTAACCTCTCTTTGTAGGATCCAGTAAGAGAAATCGGAAGAATTGCCAATTTTCTTGGTGTTGAAAGAAATGAAAATTTATTTAAAAGTATCGCAGAAAGCTGTAGTATTGATATTATGAGAACTCGTTTAAAAGACCATTTTCAGTTTGTGGAAGACGGGATGAACCTTGTTTGCAGAAAAGGTAATTTATAATTTATCCATATCTGATAAGCAATGTAATTTAGTCATTCTTCGAGTCACCTACCCAAAAATATTTTAATTATGTATATAACTTAAACCACAACATGGAATGCAGTAACTCGTCAGTATTCGGGTCACCCACCCCAACAATATTTTATTTACTCTGTATTCTATTTAGATCACGACAGTCCAAAATATAACTATTTACTATGTATGTAATTTAGACCACGGTCAGAATAAGTATCGACCAACCGGTTCATAAGATACTGGTATCATCTGTGTTGTTGGATGAGACTAGACTAGGTTCAGGGGCGTAAATGTGTCTGTGGGGGGGGGGGGTACACCCCCCCCCCCCAGAAAAAAAATAGTCGGTCCCAAAATCAGTGCAGTCGGTCGCAAAAAAAGAGCAGTCGGTATCATAATAAGTGCTCACTGCACACGTCACGCTACTCACGCAAAACTTTAGTATAAAATAACCTTGTCAACTTATCATGTTTGAAAAAAGTGATGTGTTTCACTCTTATTCTGTTGTGAGTATGTAAGTCTCAAAATTATGCATTGCCGTCTTAATGAATTAATGAGGTAAACAAATAATGCCAGAATAGATCTCAAATACTAGTCGGTCGCAAAATCAGTGCAGTCGGTCGTAAGATATGAGCAGTCGGTATCAAAATAAGTGCTCACTGCACACGTCACTCTACTCACACAAAACTTTAGTATAAAATAACCTTGTCAACTTATCATGTTTGAAAAAAATGTTTTTCACCTCATGGCAAAAAAATAGTCGGTCTCAAAAAAAAGTGCTCACCGCAGTCGGTCTCAGATTAAATGAATTAATGGGGTGTTTTCTGACCATCAGAATTCTGCAAAATCAATCCCCCAAGTCCAGGGCATTTCAGAGACCAAGTAAGCGCCCCATTGAGGTAAAGTGCCCTCAGACCCAGTCCTCAAAAATTAAAAGCTCAGTTACATATCGGCGCTCAATTCCATTATGCCATCATTTTTCAACTCCTTCTCTGTCTTATACTATCTCATCACTATCATATTCACAGTTACAGTGAATCGCCCAGTTAGTAGTACCACTAGTGAGTGAGTCGTGGGTCAAAAGACTGTAGAATTGTTAGTTCTACTCTCACAAAACAGACGACATTGACAGATAACCCTCAAGATTCTGTCCCATTTCTTATCCTCTCGTTAACGAGAATTTGGATCAATTTGCCATTACATTGACTAAAATTGTCAGGCCCAGTCCCAAAAATAAAAAGCTCGGTTACACATGTGAAATTTTCTCGCGCCTGGGGCGCTCGATTCCATTATAACATCATTCTTTCACTCCACTTTCATATTCACGGTTATACTGAACTGCACAACTCCCACTGTTGTGTGGGTCGTGAGGTGTTCAGACTATACAAAAGTTCTGTCAACTCTTGCAAAACAGGCGGAATTGACAAGGGCAGATCTCGAGATTTTGTCTAATTGACTCACATTTCTGGTCCTCTCGTCCACAAGAATTTCTCCCAGCAATGACCTCAAATGCCAAGATATTGACACAATTTTTCAAAATTTTCTCAGGTTGCTCAGTGTTATAGGCACAATCATATATGACATAAACTTTATGTCAACTTAAATAAAACTGCTTTCCACTTCCAGCGAGAAACAACGATCGGCAAACAACTATATAATTATAAAATACCATCTTTGTTCTACTGGGACGCTTAATGTTATAGCCTGTATTTTGTTGACATTCATTGTGGGGTGGGATTGTGGCTGGGGTGGCGCCCTAGATTTGGACCCCCACCCCTATATAGATCCGCTACTGCACATGGCCCCTACAAAACTCGCACCTGTGGTGCTCGGCTCTTGACTGCGTCACTCGTACTAGGGGTATGGGCATCAGTCGGTCGCATTTTGGCTAAACACCCTACCCCCAAACAAAATCGTTATGTGTACGCCCCTGACTATGTTCATGCTTTCAGATCCCACTGTAATATTTTTTTTATTAATTCTGAAAGTTGCTATGAATACAAGATTTTGTTAGCTATGTTAACACCTCGCAGTGTGGGAATGACGAGTGAGAGTCGACCCTGTACACAGATGTAATGCACTGGACATTTTCTTGTGCGTTGGCTTATAATACCCGTTATAAAATTTATAAATATGTCCTCCTCTTTTTATATTAAAATATTACTGCTCTAAATATAGGATTGTTACAATATTTATTCGATACAATAACTAAATATAATTCATGGTGATGCTTTGGTACCCTTTCGCTACGCCACTGGTGTAATATTTTTTTATAAATATACTAAACATTCCATGCATCACTACTAATAGTTAGATGTAGAGGTAGCCGAGAGGAATATTGGATACGTACATTAGGTACTGCCACTGCTTACGGGTGCAATGACAATGTAGCTAGTATTGGAAATTTGTCTAGTCCTGCGTGTAGCAATGTTGATGTCATGACCTTATTCCCAAAGTTTCTTCGTCGAAAACGCAGTCATGGACATCGTGGCTACACACCACCCATGCTCCGCACTATTTCACTTTTTGCCCTTTTGGAAATTATCCAAGAACCACTAGGGCCACACCATATCCGTACTAAATTATATTCAATTCCACTTACTATTTTGAAATTACTTAAATCTGAATGTTTGGATTCAAATTTTACTGATCCTGCATCCACTGAATACAGGTTTGTATCCATTGTTCTTGACATTGCCCACCGTCGTTTGGACATTGCGACGGAGTCTGATGTGTCTAACACCATCAATAGTTCATTTCTAAAACTGAAATTTGCTAATAAAGGCATTGATGCTATCGGGTTAAGGCAAATATTACACCATAAGCAAGTCACAGCACACATCCCTCCTTACTTCAAAACTGTTACTGTTCCTAGGACTTCTCATGCGTATACTAAACCCATTGCATCCAAAATATTTAATTACAGAAACGCATTATCTAACATCAATGCAAAAGAATTATATGATAACCCTCTACCCTGTACTTGCTCTACGTCATCCTTTATTTACCAACCAGCTGGACATGTAGTCACTGGTGATTTAAACATAGTCCAGAATAATAAGTTACGTGAGATTTTGTCTAAAGGACCCAAATACCGGGAACCGCAACCATTTTCATGGGATCAAAATTTCAAACTTATTATGGATGCCGTAGAGTACCACGATAGATCGTGGGCCAAGAGGGAAGATGTTATCTCTGATACTCTCTCAGATTGGACTAAGTCGATCAGTCGTTTACTTAAATGAAGAATTTATATGCAACGTTTGTTAGTTGACACTAGGCCTAAATCTATTTTCAATGATGTTAGCATTGTTGAAAATCTTAACGCCTTACATGACAAGTATGTCATCGTACCGGCTGACAAAGCGTTCAATAACTTAGTGTTTATATGTAAACGATATTATTATGACTGCCTGTTCAAAGAACTTCATTTCGGGAAATCAAACGCTCTACTCTTAGTAAGGGTGAAATTATATCCAATCACAGATCTGTACTCACTTCATTTGGTACTCCATGTGGAGATACCTATACAGATCTGCCCTTAACTACATAAAAATCCCTACAAGCAACGTTTTATAGCAGGTTCATCCCGTTGTTCCACAAAACCACTTTCAGAAGTATTGACAACTATACTAACCGCAGTGAAAGAGGGTATTCAAAAATACTGTAACAAAATATACTCTCGTAGTGGTTTTAATCAAATGTAGATATTAAAAAATTCCAAAGAATTACTTGATGGTTTGCAATCTAGATCACTTGCTTCAATCTCATCTATACAAACGTTTGACTTTTCTACTGTTGTCGTGTATTATGTACACGGTGAACAGTCCATTATTTATTATGCTGATTACACTATTGTTCGTACTTGGTTTTATTTTATTGTTTTAACTTCAGGTGAAACGGGTGATTGGAAGAACTGGTTTACTGTAGCACAAAATGAACGTTTTGATCAAATTTACAAGCAGAGAATGGTTGACTCGAAATTAAAATTCAAATTTACTTTATAGAACAAAATTAAACACAAATCTACACTAAAGAATGGTTCTAAATATATGAATTGTTTCCATGTACATTGAAATTCAAATTAAATGTTTCCATATACAATGTTTCCATATACATTGAAATCCAAATTAAATTCAAATTTGATTTATAACAACACTATAGCCAAGCTAAGCGTAAAGTTGAAAACCAAGTTGTAAACCGCGAGCATGGTGGTTGCTAGTTCCGTGGATTCATATTTTCTTCGATCTTGTTCGTTATTTAATTGGACTTCCATTCAGAAACCCTAAATAAATAATTGTTTATATAAAGACAAATACCTAATGTTGTAATACTATAGGGGTTATTTGAAATCTAATTATTGAAATATTTCAATATTTCTTTCTTTCAATGTTTTAAACGTTTATACTATATATTCTTATGTTTCTATTAATCCTTTGTTATTAATTAGACGTTAAGCTACTAATCTAATTTTAGACAGTTGTCAGCTGGTACATTAATTAATTTAATTATTATCTTATTGTTTATTTTACTGTAATGTTTTTTAAAAATATTTTTAATCTTCCCTCTTAATTGTTATTAGTAACCTTCGTGTATATTGTTAATTCCTAAGATATTATTTTATTATAAATACAGATTTATACATTGACAAAGCGTTTTCGGTTTCATCCCGTTTCCAGGACAGTTACCCTGCTTGTCGGGCGTGCTGTTCTCCGTGTATGATGTTTAATGTTTTCCGGAAATAAATAGTTTCAAGAATAGTTCCAGTCTTTACTTATTACCGAAGATTCTCACTACTCCAGTATACCTCATAATATGCAATGGGTGTCCTGAAAAATATATTGGAAAAAATTGATGACCAGCTTAATATCAGAATGAATCTCTATTGTTCACAAATTGTAATACTATAGGGGTTATTTTAGTTCTGTGAAAGGTGCTCTGTTTAATATATTGAAGTGGTTAAACAAATGGGTGTCGATGAGAACTTGGTCAAGTAGGTATTTTGCAACATCCAACTTTCTTACACTAACTCACAGACAGTTCCTGCCACCATCAATTGCTGAAAGTAGGGTACGTCTCCAGTCATCTCGTGCCCAATTGGGCCCAATAACGTTAACGTAAAACGGTGCCCATACGAAACACTTACCCAAAAATGGTAATTGCCTTCCCCTAATAGCTGACGCATCTATACTTTCTATATAAGAAAGAGCGGGGTTAAATTTCCCGTCAGACACCATGTGGGCTTCCAAGACATACCGTTAGCCGTCTCGGCATACAGGCCGGCAGATAACATCATGTAGAGTTATCAAGAAGTGTGAGGCTCTTGCCACCTTTAGGTGTTTTCAGACATCATATAGACATCATTTGGAGTTCGTAGAGACATGCCGTTAGCCGCCTCGGCTTACAGGCCGGCAGAGAACATCATCTAGAACTATCAAGAAGTGTGAGGCTCTTGCCACCTTTAGGAATCTAAGGTGTTTTCAGACATCATATAGACATCATTTGGAGTTCGTAGAGACATCATAGAGCGGTGCCAGAGGAACGTTTAACCACCGACATAATGCAGGGTTCTTAGGACGTACTCTCAGCCTTGGTTCGTGGTAGATCTAGACCCGAGGGCTTGGCAAGAACGGTGTCTAGACGTTCGGATGAAACGAAAAACAGAGATTCTAATAGTAAGTGCACCACACAAAATTTATACAAAAACAAATACAAGGACAAGACATTATACTCAAGAAAACACAAACAGACAGACAATTCAAAAAAAGTGAATGGATCCGGGGGGCTATCCGTAAGCGTCCACTGCGCTGTACAGTCCCAGTACATATCGACACAAAAACCCATGACAGGTTTTCTTATTAGCCCTGTCGGCTATTTCGTTTTATTTTCATTCGGATTTAGGCCTAGTTCTATTGTAGTTTTTAAATAAAGCTATCTCGAATAATGCGGTATTATCTACGGGCTAATAAAGGAGAACTGAACAATGGACAGCGACAGCCCCATTTTGGTAAGAAGTACCTGGTGGTGGCCGGTGAGTGTCATGTACAAGTCGGTGAGTTACTAGGGTAAAGTATGATTCGTCGTGTACGATCTACTTTCAGCCGACCCGTTGAACATGATCCATGGTCGACAAGATGGGGGAGGTCGGCATTATTAGACCTCGAAAAACCAAATCGTCCTACTTTGTTTTAAAAAAGGGCATACCCAAGCAGAAAATAAAATCAGTCCAAAGATTAGGTTTAAACTCAAGGAATAGCCTAACTAGTACCGATAGTCCGTCGGCAACTAGCTCAACTGAGTTATATCAATTTCGACAATGACGACGGTGGAACAGAAAATCAACACACTCATCCTTGTAATGCAATAAATTATAATAATCATATAGCCCGGTTGCTAGCCAAGACAGCGTCTAGTCGTTCGGGTGGGACGATTAACTGAGGTCGTGTGTAGGCTACACATTGAATGTGACATTGTCATGCACATAAAAGAACCTTTGACAGAATTTGAAATAAGAATAGGCCTAGACCGTAGCACCGTTGTTCATGCAAAATTTCCATCATAAATAGCACACTGTAAAGGCCCGTGCAGATAGGTAGTAGGCCTACTTAAATCCATTTCATTTCTTTTTCATTTCAGATATAGGCCTAGTTCTAATGTAATTTTTAAATTAGTCTGTCATAGATATTATCTGACTATGTGCTAATATTAATAAATGGAAAACTTAACAGGGAACCCGTAACGCCAGTTAGCTATATATACTGAAATGGTGGTGTCGATGGGTGTCATTTACGAGACAGTGTGTACTTACATCAGATGCCACTTCACATATTGCACATCAATCGTTATCAATCTATAAAATTAAGAGTGTAGACTAATGCAATTATAGAATTCACAATTTACGACACTAATAATGCCAATGACATATTGTCTACAGGGAACAATGAATACTTTCTAAAAGAAGAATAACGATCAAAGGCCTAGGCGTCTATATGCCAACTTTGGAAAGCATTGGCGCCCAGATTTACCATCTGCCAAAGAGCTACCATTGCAGTAAATATGATGTCTGGATTGTGATGCAATATATTGTCCAGCATGTTTAGATGAAGCATACAATTCCAGGCATCTACATATGTTTGAAATGTTCAAGGTATGTTATAATATGTTTTTCTTTAATTTCAGACGCATTTTCTGTTTTGTTTACAGCTTTAATATACATTCATCCATTCATCAGCTACAGGACTATTTTAAAGATTTTTTCCATAACCATGTATTTGCGAGAATTTCTCTGCTATTACCGCTGTATTTAGTTAAATATCTAGTATCTCAACTCAAAACTACTGTCATCGCGTGCGTGTAGATATTAATATATTTTAATATATTCTGTTTCAGAATGGAGTTTTTATTGGATTTTTCCCTGGAGTAAAAGTATGGAATTGCCACGACGGTCATGAATGTGCCACAACTTATCTCAAAGGAATGATTATTTTTGGACAGTAGAGGTTTGTTTATAGTATTTATCTTAATTGGATGCCAGAAAGATGATTGTATGAGATAAGCGAAGAGCATAAATCAAGCTTGTTGCCATTCCCATTCAAACACTATTAAAGAACTCATTATGGCCGGCATCCCCTAAACGCCCAGCGATAGCATTTCAGTTTGGCTTACTGGACTGGTTAAATTCGCTGATGCTAGAATGTCATGTGTCAGCACATGGTTTTTGGGAAGCTCTGAGATACCTACTTCCCAATCATCAACGGGGCCTTATTGTTTCTGAGGTACTCTTCCACTTTCTTGGCAAATGACCAAAAAGTTCAACACAACCAGTTTTCTCCTCTCTTTTTTATGCAATGCCGTGGCGTGTTTCCAGAGCGGGGGGGGGGGGGGGCTGCATGCACGGACCAAATAACGTCGAAAAAAAACCACATCCAGCTTTCTTCTCTTCTCTTTTATACAATATCGTGGTACTTTTCCCGGGGGGGGGGGGGGGCTCCCTTCATGCACAGACGTAATATTGTCGAAAAAACAACACACTGAGGTCGTTTTGGCCTCGCTCCACCTAAACCTGTACATGTATGCACCTAAATGAGCCGAAATATTGTTTCTAATAGTAAGTGCAGGGGGACTGCACCACACAAAATTTACACAAAAACAAATACACGGACAGGACATCATACTCAGGAAAACACAAACATACAGACAATTCAAAAAAGTGAATGGACCCGGAGGCTAGCCGTAAGCGTCCACTGCGCTGTAGGCTACAGTCCCGGGTCTGTAGTGACACAGACTTCACTCAAATTTGAAAACAATTAGGAATACAACCCAAAGAACCCATTGTGTAATGCCAGCATGAGTCCTAATCTGCTATATGCTACACGAAATACGAATGTAAGCATATGTAGTAAAATTCAACTATACAAGTAACCACATCGGTGAAATGTATCAAAAAGTAGTCTAAACTCTAAATTCAATCAAGAAACGCTTCAGTATTCAATACGTATAGGGTACATGTTCCATCGTCACAAAAACAAAAAACTGAATACAAAGAAGCAAATAGGAAATGTAGACTGTCTCGAGGGACAGCGGTCTGCTGACTGAGAATGACGTCATATCTTAGGTGATAAAAAAAATCACAATAATAAGGGCGATAATCCAGATAAAATAACGTTAAAAGCTTAAAAAAACATAAGTTTTAGCGACTAATCGGAATTATTAAGTTATGTAATTGTACAATTTATAATATATTAATATAATATCCCACACAAGAAATGCAAAACAGGTATGTTGAAGAAATCGTACTATGTAAGTGTATTTATAAAGGCATAAAATTAAGGGAGGTAATTCAGACAGGGTTAGGTAACTACAGAAAAACTAAAATAAAATTGAAATTAAATTGGATCATTATCCAGTATGTAGTCGGTTATATACTTACAAGTAATGTCAAACTTGGTATGTTGAAGAAATGGAAGTTTTGAAATTTCTTTTAAAATGCGTAAGTAGCGCCTTTGTCAGTGCATTTAAAGTAAAGAGATTTTATTCGGGAGAGAAATAGTTCTTTATTGTTACATATTGTCAAAAATCGTAATGCCTGTGAATAGAAAACACCTTATAGCGTGGTATCTCGTATGTTACTATAGATTGACGGGTATTTTACTACTTCAAAACCAAATTTGTCCGTTTTGTCGAAAATACCGACATTAAATTTATTGTTAATTATATTGATGTTCAGGTCAAGAACAGATGCATTTATAGTACCGGAATTTCCTTTATTTAATATTAGTTCAGGAGGATATATTTCACTTTTATATTTGTTGAAATTGCCATTATCATTGATAGGTTTTATGTCATCAATGTATCGGAAGGTATAGTTTAGACTTTTAGCTACTTTGTAATCTGTTTTTCTTTTATGGTCTTGAAAGTCGAATTCGTATTTAAATAAATGTGCATTTGCCATAAATGGGGCGGGGTCAGTTCCCATTGGCAAACCAGTGGTTTGTTGCCTTATCTGATCCCCAACCTCAAATATGGCATTGTCAATGAGGAAATGTATGATATTTTGAAATTTTTCTTTATCAAAAACTACAGTGTCGGCATTGCGACGTTTTATAATCCATTTAGCATCTTCTGCATAAATGGCCATCAAGTTTCTGCCTTTCCCGAAAGCTCCATTAAAGGCTTGATCTACAAACCAATCTAAATTATCCTTAAGATCTGCATGTTGAAGCATAGTATACAAAGTAGAAAAATCGAACGTTTCTATTGT